TCAACCTTCAAAAAAGTTCAGTGAGGGGCGCCTGGGTGGCGCAGTCGGTTAAGCGTCCGACTTCAGCCAGGTCACGATCTCGCGGTCCGTGAGTTCGAGCCCCGCGTCAGGCTCTGGGCTGATGGCTCAGAGCCTGGAGCCTGTTTCCGATTCTGTGTCTCCCTCTCTCTCTGCCCCTCCCCCGTTCATGCTCTGTCTCTCTCTCTGTCCCAAAAATAAATAAACGTTGAAAAAAAAAAAAAATTAAAAAAAAAAAAAAAAGTTCAGTGAACCCCAAATAGGATAAATGTAAAAAAAAATCATATCTAGAAACACATTAAACTGTTGAAAGTAAAAGCAATGAAGGGAACCTGGGTGGCTCAGTCAGTAGAACATGTGACTCTTGATCAACTTTTAACAGAAGCTATGGATGCAAGAGTCAATGGAACAACATCTTCAAAGTGCTGAAAGAAAACAAAACTGTCAAGCTCAAATTCTACACCCAGTGAAGAGTCATCAATCAAACAATCAATCAATCAGGACATTTTCAGACCCATCAAAGCTGAAAGAATCTTCTTCCATAAGATTTTCACTAAAGAAATATGAAAAGAAGTTCCTACGACTAAGAAAATTGGCCCAGATAAAAGGATAAAACTTCAGAAATAAATGAAGGCTACCCAAAATGATAAATACGTCAATAAATGGAAGTGAATGCTAATGCTTAAAACTTAAGAAAATAATAGCAATGCCTTACAAGTTGACACATGTAGAGGTGGAAATATATGACAGCAATATTTTTTCAAAAAGGGCAAAAGAGAAAGTAAATGAACTTAAATTGACTCGTAGGATTACTGTTCTCTTTGGGAAGTGGTAAAAGAACCAACTGTATAGTAGATTGTAATAAGTCAATGATGCTTATTAAAATCAAATGTAACTAATGAAGAAAGAAAAAAAGAATATATAACTAAAAAGTTAATGGAGGAAAAAAAATGGAATGAAAAACGATCAATCCAAAAGAGGTCAGGAAAAGAATAAAGGAACAAGGAACATGTGGGACAAGTAGAAAACAAATAGTGAAATGATAAAATTAAACTTAAAAATATCTATAATTAGGGGCACCTGGATGGCTCAGTCAGTTAAGCGTCTGAGTCTTGATTTGGGCTCAGGTCATGATCTCACTGTTGTGTGACTGAGCCATGTGTTGGGCTCTGCCCTGGGTGTGGAGCCTGCTTGAGTCTCTGTCTCCCTCCCCCTCTGCCCCTCCCCTGTTTGCGTGTTCTCTCTCTCTCTCAAAACACACACTCACACACACACACACACACACACACACACACACACACACAGCAACTGTATTCAATGTAATTGGACTAGCAATCCACTGAAAAAGCAGACTGTCAGACTGGATTAAAAATAAAACCAGTGAACCAATTATATGTCATTTGCAAGAGACAGGCTTTAAATATAAGGACAGAGGGGGGCACCTGGGTGGCTCAGTTGGTTAGGTGTCCGACTTTGGCTCAGGTCATGATCTCACAGTTCGTGAGTTCAAGCCCCGTGTTGGGCTCTGTGCTGACAGCTCAGAGCCTGGAGCCTGTTTCTGATTCTGTGTCTCCCTCTCTCTCTGCCCCTTCTCTGCACGTGCTCTGTCTCTCTCTGTCTCTCAAAAATAAATAAACATTAAAAATTTTTTTAAAAATGAAATAAAATAAAAAGTAAATAAACATAAGGACACAGGTTGAAAGTAGAAGGATGACAAATGACATCACACAAACACTAAGCAATGAAAGCTGGAGTGGCTATATTATATTACACAAAATAGAAGTTCTACTTCTGGTAATGACAGAGGAGATCATATCAGACTAAACCTCCCGCAGGTAACAATTATACTCTGTTAAAAATATAAAAACAATAATCTTGGGGTGCCTGGGTGGTTTGGTTAATTAAGTGTCCGACTCTTAATTCAGTTCAGGTCATGATCTCATGGTTCATGGGTTCGAGCCCCATGTCGGGCTCTGTGCTGACAGCATGGAGCCTGCTTGGAATTCTCTTTTTCCCCCTCTCTCTTCCTTTCCCTCACTTGCTCGTGCTCTCTCTCTTTCTGTCTCTCTCTCCAAAATTAAATAAATAACCTTAAAAAAACAAACAAACAAACCATAATCTTAAGGCAATGGGAAGCTACCAAAAGCAGAGGGGAGTCAATACATGGAAAAAGGAAGCAGCTTGAGTGAGTTTCCCATTTTTATGGCTTTTCCACTGAGGACAGACCACAGGTGGTACGTTAATTAAAACTGACAGAATTAAGAGAAGAAATAGACAAACCCACAATTACAGTGGAGATTCTCACATCCTTTTCTCAGTAACTGATAGAACAACTACAGAAAAAAATCAGCAAAGATAATAAATACATGAACAACACTATAACTACCTGTCCAAATTGACACTTACAGAACCTTACTCCCCCAAATCACAGCATATATAAGTGCACATATGTTCAACAAAAACAGACCATATGCTGAGCCAAAACCAAATTTCAATACATTATAAATTCTAAAAAATGTATGACCACAACAAAACTAAATTATAAATTAATAATAGTATATCAAGAGCAACCCCTAAACATTTGTAAGTATTAGACAAAGGAGACTTTATAGCAAGAAGCAGTTTAGAGACTAAGAGGGACATGATATTCATAGGACCAGGCAACTTTTACAATTTTTAGAACTGATATCTGATCAAGTCTCTAGCTCTAAATACCAATTATTAGGAATTACAGGAAAACATAATAAATGACAATTTGGTAATGCAGTCAGCAAAATCCAGACAATCAGACACTCCTAAGAAAAAATGGTTAGCTTTCTTCAACAAATACATTCAAGGAAAAAAAAGGAAGAGGAACCTACTGATTAAATAACTTAAGAAACACGGCTGCCTTTTGCCATATATGGACCTTAACTAGCTCCTAAATCAAAGAAGAAAAAAAAAGGGGGAGAGAGAGAGAGAGAGAGAGAGAGAGACTATAAGACAACTGGGATAACTGATAGGATCTAAGTGATATTTATTTAATAATGGTGTTGTAGTATATTTTTAGAAAGTCTTTATCTTTTAGTGATATACCCTAAGATACCTATGAATAAAATGGGATGAAAAGATACAACATCAAGGATTTACTTCAAAATAATCTAGAGGTAGGGATAGCAGGTGGAGGAGAGGGAAGTATAGATGCAACAATATTGGCGAATACTTGAAAATAAATTATGGCTTCATTGGAACTTGTTCTACTTGTTCTACATTTCCCCCACTTATGGATATGAATAAAATTCTATATTACAAAAGTTCCCTAAAATATTCCCTAAAGTTCCCTAAAAAGGAAAAGGAATATCACCATGGCACCATGAGCTGTGAAAGGTATTTTATTCTAAAGATAGATAGTCAGACAGACAGACACACATTTCTTCTACAAGTAATCTCACTCAACACTGTTTCATCAGTACTTGGCATTTAATGATTCTTTGGGAAATATCTGTGGAATGAATAAAAGGGAGCAAGGAATTAGTTACTTCAAGGGTGTGTGTGTGTGTCTGTGTGTGCATGTATGCACATGTGTGTACATGCTTGTGTGAAATTTCCCTAATTAATAATGATACTGAGTACTTTTTCATAAGTTTATTCACTATTTGGATTTCCTTTTGGACAAAAAGCCTGTACATGTCACTAAGAGAAAAACAATAGCAATTGGTTAAGTCCTCTTTCTGTACTCTGGATATACACCAACTATCAATTATGTGGTTGCAATTTTTTTTTCTCATTTTGTAGCTTATCTTCACTTAATAGTGTCTACTGATGTATAAAAAAATCTTAATTTTAATGTAGTCAAATAATTAAATGTCTTCCATTTTAGTTATTGCTTTTTTATCTTGTTCTAGAAAACAATTCCTAGTCTGGGACTATGAAATAATGTTCTTACACATATCTTTAAAGCTTTATTGTTTTTTTCTTTCACATTTTAGTTCTATGATCCATCTGGAATCCAGTTTTTGACTATGGTGTGAATTAGGATTCCAATTTTCTCTCTCTAAATAGATACCCTTATCGCAATAAAATTAATTTTAAACTGTCATACTTTTATCAATGCCTGCAATGCCCCTCTTCATAAATATGTCACCTGCATATGCAGAGGTCTGCAAGATGTTCTGCTGGAATGAAACAAAGCAATTTTCAAATAATAAGGCATAAGCTTTCTGATTTTTCTTTCTAGCCTCAGAGGATTATCCTGCATTCCAACTGAAAACCACAATCATAGAAACAGTAACAACTTCAAATAGAACAGTAGGTTCTGTAAACTGTTCCAAATTTATCTAAGAAAGATAGCTGTTTGGAATTAAAGCTCTCTAAGATTGGAATCACTACTACTTTCTTTGGTATTTTGATTTATTTCTAGTTCATTCATTCATTAAACAAAGTTGCAGACACAAGGATAAAATAGTCCTTCCTGTTGAGAAACTTAATTGTCTGGAGGAGATGCCATTCCAGTAAAGAAACAAATGCAATCTCATAAGGTAAATTCTACTGTGCATGACACAGACAGGCAAAAGATGCTATGAAAGGAAAGAGGAGAAGGCACTCTTCTATGAGGATCGAGTTTCCTGTGTTGGCAAGAATGGTGGAGTGGCAGGAGTTGAGGAAGGCAGAGATAACATCCTGAATTGATTTATGTCACACTAAGGAGTCTGGATAGAGTGTACAATGGGGAAGCATCGACAGCTTTTCAATTACCTGATTTGCATTTTGGAAAGTAAGAAATGAGGAACAAATTCAGGCACTTACAAGGTTAATAACTTCAACAATTTATGTTTATCTAAAAGAAACATTATAATCCTACTTTTGAACAAAATGAAAAGCTGCTATCTATGGACGTTTAAAGAGTAAAAGGCTTGAAGTGAGAAGTTGCCTGCAATTGCTTCTGAACATAGAACAGAGATTAAGGAGAAAAGGAATACAGCTAACATTTCAAGTGTACATACCTATAGCAAGATGCTCCATAGGGACATTCAGGCCGCTCATCAGCCTCATCTTGACACATGACTTGTATGCCTCCATAATCACTATCTCCAGGGTGACTGAAGTGTTGAAAATGGACAGGATTCTTCCTAGGAGGGTGGCAAATATACAGAAAAAATAATTAATAGGGTATACTAGAGTTCTAGATATACTACAAAAAATAATTTGTAAGATATGGCAGGAAACCAAGCAATACACATCTAATTATTCCAGAAATTGAATCAATGAGCTACATTGTTAAAAACAAAACTCATGACATCTACTCGGTACAGAGCTCTCCTGGTCCCAAAACAAAGTATCATGGTGATTCACAAACACAAGTAGAAAAATATAAAGAAAAAAGCACCAGCAGAATGCCTTAAACACAACTTACAATTCTCTTGATAGTTACATTATATACTACAACTGTTTATGAAGTCATCTTTCTAATATCTAAATAAGACATTACATAAGCATGTGTTTAGGTCTGGGTGATTAAATTCTCAAGTCTGGACTACCTAGTTCATGTCCTTGCATTAATCAGCATGTCTACATATGAAACATTTAATTCCCTCACAGTATCTTGAAAGTCTCTAGCAGGATTTGCAGGAATGAATACTGAGACAGTGCAAACCAGTAGAAACATGATAAAGCTCCTAACCTTTAGGCCAATGTATTTTATTAGGCTTTTAACACACATGTACCACATAGCTACATGCTATGGAAACAACAGAATTTCGTGCTACCTGTAATTTCATTTTACCTGTAGCAGTTTGCCCCATACATACAGGATGTCCTCTTGATCTTGTTTTCTTCAGAACCTTGTGGAACTGAATCAGTTGCCTTTGCATGCAAAGTTTCAGGATTGGAGAGATCAGAACTGGACTCAGGAGGAGATCCTTGAGACTCCTCGTGGAAGGACTTGTCCTGGGCAGTCAAGTAACCCTCAGAACAGTCCATCATCTTGCCTTCTTTATCTCGTGTTCCTTTCATAATAATCTTATGTTCAGGAACCTTACCACATTCCTCTATTGGGATTTCACTTCTCTGTGTATTAGCCTTCTTATTATTTACTTCTGCATTATTTAATATGATTGCAGAAGATGACTGCGGCATTTCCTACAAGGTAAATCAGAAAGAAGACACTAGAAATAAATGAAACGTACTTTAAAAGAAATATGTAAACTTAATAAAAGGCATGAAATTGCAAGATTCATTCAATATTATATTTTTTAAACTTCAAGATTCACATTTTAAAATTATTTAAAATGCTGTTTTCCATGTCTCTAATTTGGTAGCTTTAAAACAATCTACAGTTATTAGAAAAGGAATATACAGCTGTATCAAACCTTTACAATTATGTCAAACATTCACTTAAAAATAACCAGAAAAATACAAATGAAACATAAGAGAATACAACTTTGCTTCCAATTGAATATAATCTTTCCCCCCAAAACTACTAGTCTTTTAAATTCCCCATTCAATAATGTGTCATGCTCTTAACTTGAACTGTCTTTATAATTTCTAAGTTATTGCAATACTTTATTTCTGCCCTCTAAATATAATCATGACTTTTTTCCTTTAGCTAAAATAAAACTGCTCCTCCCTCACAGAAAAATTGGTATGAAGGTGTGTCATGAAAGACTCAGAAAATAAATATGACTCCCTTGAAGTGGTCTGAACAAGTTTCAGTTTAACCAAAGGGTGTTTTGAACCAAGTAAATAGTCTCATTAGCACTGCAGAACCTTTTTAATCTGTACTTACCACCAGGAACATTAAACCTAGTCATATCCTATTAAAAACAACTTTTTAATTACTTATACATCCTGTGGAGTGGAAACATTGTCAGATAAACTTCGGTCTTGCTGGTAACCACTTCTAGGATGTGATGACAACACAACAGGTATATATGAAGGTTCACACCAATTTATAACTAAGGACTCATGTATGCTGGCCTGCCATCTGGAGAAAGCTGGTTTTAATATTCTTAATAGCCAATGGCTCAAATTTCCTGCGAAGATACTAATTAGCATGACTTTTTTGGGACTAATTACTTAAATGTTTTGATAGTCTTTTCTTTTTTAAGAAACATAGTATGTAACTTTAAAATGCAATCCAAACGGACTAAAGACCTTGCAAAAGGAACCTAGTTCTTATGTTTCTTGTATAATAATAAATAACCCATGGGAAAGGCAATTGTTTGGGTACCTCTTGGAGCTGACCCTCAGCTGGTGGCATTCATGCCACACCTGTCTATAACACACACTCTTTTCTCCCAAGCTGCTCAGTTACAACCCAATCTCCTCTCCCTCCAGTATAGGACCAACTGACAAATGCCAGGGACTAGAACTCTGGGGTGGGAATGGGGCAATCCTGCCCCACCTCCCCACTTGGCAGTTCCCCACTGGGTCAACTCACCAATTTTCTTTCTCCCCGTTTAAGTAGAAGTAGGGCAGGTTAGCAGATGTTCAATAAAATGCCAGTCTCTTATTCCCTGTTGGCATCTCTAAATTCCACAATGAATTCTCTTGCACTTTGGGTTTTCAAAAGAGAGAACATAACGTCTCCCTACAAACACAGCACTCCCTAAATCTTAAAATTTTCTGGCCTTTCAGTTCTGTTTGTATAAAGCCTGGGGGTTGGGTAGTGAACACTTCTCAAATCTTTCAATAAGCTTCACAAGGAAAGGCCTGGCTACCACTGCTGGGGGCTCCTTTCAAACATGAGATACCTACACTTAGTACTTTTGTCCCCAGCTCTGGGCCTCAGCAGCAGTTCTCAGATGATAGAGGGGAAAAAATCCCACTCAACATCCTGTCAGTCATGATAGGGAAAAAAAAGGACACAACTGGGGAAGTAGTTAAATAAATTAGAATCCATTTTTACCATGAAACACCGTGCAGAGGTGGAAAATGAATAGATCTCTCTATATATGTATCTAAGGATTTTTAAATTAAAAATTAAATATATGTACACACACACACACACACACACACATATATATATACATATATATTATGATTCCATTTAGCTTTAAAAAAAACCCTATATACCTATGTGTATACTTACTTGTACAAATCAAAATAAAAGGTTTAGAAGGATACAAACCAAAATATTAGTAAGGCCAATGGGACTGAAGGATAAGGCAAATCAAGATTTTCACTTTATACTCCACATGCTCTGACATTCTATTTTTTGACAATAGCCTGTATTTTTTGCCATTTAAAAAATAAAAAACAAACCAAAGAAAATGAAATATAAGATATAAAATGTTTAACATTATTTCAACTGTCCCTACTGTTTCTTAAATCTTCACAAAGAATAAGTTTAACATGATAATTTATTCTAAAAGAAAAAGGAGTGATAAAGACACAGATATCAATACTATGGATCAGGTGTTCTCAAATATATTTGAAGAGGCACAAAAGCTGGAATTCATAGTGTTCTTTATGGAACTTCATGAAATATTGATACTCAGTAGACTTTTGGCATTCAAGAATTTAACGTTCATGATTTCAATTATTTATAAATGATCCCCAAAATCCATTACATGCAGTAATTTGTAAGTTTGCTGAGACACAAATTCAACCTGTGCCAGTTACAGAGCTCAGGAGCCAGAGTCACGGAACTGGCGGGGGAGGGGATAGGAAAGATGGAAGGTACTCTGTACTCGGAAGAAGCAGAAGAAAGGCAGAGAGGTCCATGTGTTGTAAGAACCCACACTGCTTATTTCTTAGATTTGATGAGAATATGAAGAATGAAATGTGGGAGGCTGAAGATTCATGATAGAGAACCCAGGTTCCCTTTGCTATAAAGATATACACTAGAGGCCTCAGGGATCAAGGAGCATGGAGTTAGTGTAAGGTGATCTTGGACCGGGAGGTGGCTGGAATGTACTATTAAGGCTATTAAAATAGTCTTGTTAATCCAGCATGCCCTCCCTTGCCCCTAAACCATCTGAAGTTTTAATGGACCAGAAGAGACAGGATAAAGAACTTCTTACCAATTCAAGTTCATTGAGGTAATTTGCTACCCTTGGAAAGAATGTCTGTATTAAGTTGCCTTAAAAGTCCTGCATTAGTCTTATTAGCACCCACATACTAAGGATTCAAAAAATCCCAGCCTCCAGAGGCACCTGGGTGGCTCAATCGGTTAAGCATCTAACTCTTTATTTCACCTCAGGTTATGATCTCACACTTCATGAGTTTGAGTGCTACATTGGGCTCTGTGCTGACAATGCAGAGCCTGCTTGGGATTCTCTCTTTCTCTTTCTCTTTCTCTCTCTCTCTCTCTCTCCGCCCTCCCCCCCTTCTCATTCTCTGTCTCAAAAAAAAAAAAAAAAAAAAAGTCCCAATCTCCAGTCCCGCATTCATTCTTGAACTTCAAACTTATACTCAACCACTAGCTAGACATTGCTTCCTCAATATCCTACATACTTTGAACTCAAAATGTCAAAACTGAAATCCTTCCCTGAATTCTGTACCCAAGATTCTGCCAACAAGACTTCTCCATCTATTCTAGCCAGAAACTTGGAAGTCTGTCTTTCACTCCTTTCCCTCACTCTGCCCAGATCCAAGCAACAAGTCCTGCAGTTTTGTTTCTTAAAGATTTCTCTAACCCAACGGCTTTGTGTCATCCTTAATGCTACTAAGCTCGGTCACATTCTCTTAATTTCTTGACTGAGATGTCCTGATCTCCTCCCTCATCCCCCTGTCTTTTATTTTGTTCTCTTTCCATCTCTCCTCTAAAGAGCTGCCAGGATTATCTTCGTGGCCAAAAACATTTTAAGGTCCTCCCTCTGCAACTGGTCCCCACTGCCAGCTCCAACCTCATCTCACATTGTTGCCCAGCTTTACCTGAGAATTCTAAGAACAGTTCCCAGCATACTATTTGTACCCTCTTTGCTCCTGTACCTGCTACCCATCTACTTGGATGGAGTCCTACCTCTACCTCTTCTGCACCTGGTTCATGCCTACTCCTCTTCTGTTAAGATTCAACTCAGATCACTTATGCGAGGATCCCTTCCCTAGAAGTTGGCTTAGGCAGTCCACAAGGCCCCCAGAAAAATCAATGTGGTGTCACGTTATTTCATGATTTTGAAGTATGTCCCCCACAAGACTATGAACTACTTACCAGCTACCTTACTCACTTTTTATCCTACATTCCTTGCATATAACAGAAAGACTGCTCGTGTAATGATTATTAGAAAGGTCTTTGAAGTAAAAAATCATATTTTGATTATCAGTTTAGCCATTTCTTAACTTTTGAATATGAACAAGTTGATTTAAATTCTCAGAGTCTTGGGGGCGCCTGGGTGGCGCAGTCGGTTAAGCGTCCGACTTCAGCCAGGTCACGATCTCGCGGTCCGTGAGTTCGAGCCCTGCGTCGAGCTCTGGACTGATGGCTCAGAGCCTGGAGCCTGTTTCGGATTCTGTGTCTCCCTCTCTCTCTGCCCCTCCCCCGTTCATGCTCTGTCTCTCTCTGTCCCAAAAATAAATAAATGTTGAAAAATATATATATATAAAAAAAAATTTCTCAGAGTCTTGGAGCACATGAGTGGCTCAGTCAGTTGAGTGTCCAACTTCAGCTCAGGTCATGATCTCACGGTTCACAAGTTCGAGCCCCATGTTGGGCTCTGCGCTGACAGCTCAGAACCTGGAGCCTGTTTCCGATTCTGTGTCTCCCTCTCTCTCTGCCCCTCCCCTGTTCATGCTCTGTCTCTCTCTGTCCCAAAAATAAATAAAAACGTTGAAAAAAAAAATTAAAAAAAAAATAAATAAATAAAAACATTAAAAAAAATACAGTAAAATAAACTCTCAGAGTTTCAGGTCTCTTGATCTGTATACTGGGGATATTATCAATCAACTTTCCAGGATTTTCTAAAAATTAAATGAAATAAGTATATCTTAATGGTGGGTCTAGCCCATAATTAGGGCTCAATAAATGCTTGTGTGTATGTGTGTGTATAAGTTGTTTTTATCAATGGCATTATCAATGCCATTATATTACCACTATTTGTTTAATGAGTGCTTACTGAATAAATGAATGAATAAAAAGATGTTTCTGTGGGGCTCATCAGAGCCATGCCATAAATGGCATTATATGGCTAGTCAGAAGC